CCACCTTTTGCTCGCTCTACACTATGTCTGAATGCTATGTTTCCAGTCGTTCAATAATCCTCTTATTCATTGAGTTACTACTACTGTTCTTAATGAGTTACTTGTTCTGTTTGTAGCTCTTTCTTTCGATTCACCGGCCAAACACGGCACACCCAAACCATTTAGAGCAAAGCTGGAATATCGGCTAATGTTGAATCAGTAGCAGTGAATCAATGTGCTTTCCAAATAACTGCGATAGTTTAAGCAGCTGCAGTGGTTTAAAATTTTAGTAAAATGCTCAGGAAGGCAAGTTTCTCATCAGAAATTCTGTTTCAGGACGATGACGATACATACTTCCTGATAAATACTTTTCCTGAAGAGATTCTACTGCACATATTCTTGTATCTGCACCCGCGCGATCTTATTCATTCTGCATCGCTGGTATGCAGGCGCTGGAACCGCATCGCGAACGATTACACTCTTCACAGGGAAGCACGAATTAAAATCAGTGAGGAGACATTAAAATCTGGTTGCGTGAAGCGTTTCCTTCAGAGGGTGAGATTTTTAACCAATTATTTCAGCTACAGTAGTAATGTGAGTAAGCTGTACAGTGATTTATTGTGTGTATAAAACTTATTTCTTGATTATTGCCGATAAGTGGAAAATGTAATATTAGGAGGAACAGAAATTGTAAGTTACATGTTTAGTATGAGATAGGAAAGTAATACGTGTGTTTCATCTCATAGCGTAAACACAGGCAAAACTCTGCCGTCTTTGACCGTTTTCTCGAAGCCAAAATTTTTGACACGACGCACGAAATTTTGCAGTTTTTCATGCGCTTTTGAAAAACTGCAAAATTTCGTGCGTCGTATCAAAAATTGTGATAACTCGAAAACTTGCTAGAAAACAGTGGACGAAATTTTGCTAGAAAACACTGAACGCTATAGCGCTGCACAGCAAAAGCGCATGAAAAACTGCAAAATTAGCGCTGCTACAGTGAGCAAAAACGCACATTGTCGAGAAAATTGTTGCCCACTTCCACTCAGCAACCACGAAAGCTGGGAGGTTGAAATTTTGGGTGTATGTCCCTACCCCGTGTGTCATCCTCCCATTTTAAGATCTTCGCACACACGCGCCTAGAACTCGCGTATGGACTCCGAAAAAATATGGGAATTTCATCGACGGAAAACGATTTCGTAAACCAGGCAAAGTCAAAAGCTGAAACTTTGTAGGGATATTCTCTGTGTATGTGCGAGCTAAAGGTTTCAAATTCAGCTGTTGCGCACGCTTGTGCAGCGCGGACGGTTATGTCAAAATTTGCACTTGGCATTGTGATAACTCGAAAACTTGCTAGAAAACAGTGGACGAAATTTTGTTAGAATATTTGTTGTTAATATGGTCATGATAAGTTTTCGTGTTTCTATCACGATTATGCTA